CACACACACACACACACACACACACACACACACACACACACACACACACACACACACACACACACACACAGTGGAGAGTGTCTAGGTCCCTAACTTAGCTTCATGGTAGGATCTGCTTGGCTGTCATACCCAAAGTTCTCGCTTTACCCTCTGGTGTTCGGTGACATGGCCCCTGAGAAATTTGTCGTAATGCTTCAGTAAACAAACACACAGACAAACAGCACAGGGTTAGATTAGTGTAACTGCACAGCGTCCAATCAGGAGACTTCTACTAGATCAACAGACACCCCTGCGTACTTTTAGCACATTTACTTTGTCTGAAAAATTATGAAACTTATAAATTGAAAATAATGTAAAATTAGCAAAATTTCAAATTAAAATTCATTAAATATAATAAAACATATTTTGCAGTTTAAAAAAAATCATAAATGATTGAATAATTTTTAAAATACTTTTTGAGAATCGGAGCAGTGACTCTGCAGACTGCGCAGTAATTCTGGTAATCGGCCCATAGAAATGACTTGATTTAAATTTGGCAGGTGTCCCGATTAGGATCACGTTCCCATTAACCTCTCTGGAGCGCTTCCAGTACGGCTGCTATATTTAGATTTGTGAACATCTCCGTTTACTATGAACAAAATCTTTGCAACTGTTTATTTCCGTAAAGACATCAGAATCAAATATCAAGTGACACTAAATAGGATGAGAAAGGTCACCGATGTATTACAGTTATTGAATCAAGAACGCGCGAGAGTTGTCTTTTAGTAGAAAATAAATAAAAACAAACACAATAGAAACACTGAACGAGTATTTTTACACATGCAATATAAAATATTAAGTATAAAGAAGCCAAAGCAAAAAATTAAAATAGTCACAAAAAAACAGGATGATTATTTGTGTTTGTGAGAACATATTGTGTCATTATATTTATTTATTTATTTATTTATTGTGAAATAAAAACTTCCAATAGGAAGTATATTTAGTGTCTGCAGGACACATGTTGTCCAGATGCTTTAGTATCACCATGGCAACCAAGAAAACAGAGCTTTAAAATGAGTAGTATGCGCTGTACTTTTTTCTAAACATAACCAAGTCTTCAAAATCTTCTTTTTTTTCCACAGAAAACGTAGCATTATGACGATGTTTAATATTTTTAGTATTTTAACTTGGAAACTTCAAGTAGAAATGCAAAAACCTCTGACATAAATGACGCAAACTCTGGTCTTTGGTGTGAACCGTGTGAACACTTCAGCACCCAATCCCCCCAACTTCCTGTTTCTCCTTTTAATTGTAGAAAATATTCATTTTGTGTAGATATATCAGTACATATGAGACTGTGCAGCTGAAAAATTGTGCTCAGTCAGAAAAATAAGGAGTGGAAATTCATGTGCAGGCATAAAAGATAAAAAACAAACAAAAAAAAACCAGGAGGACAATTTGTATTGAGAAACATGAATCAGTAGATTAGAAGTCACAAGTGTTTTGCAACCTGCTGCGTTGTATCGGCCAAGACAGCTATGAGTCACACCAGCCAATAAAACAGCATATTAAAATGTTCTATCATACCAAGAAAGCTTGTTGTGTTTTCTTTAGTAACATGTGTCATCGGTGACCTTTTATTTATTTATTTGGTGTCCGTCAGTCTCGGGACATTCTCTTGACCCCAAAGAGCTGCCTTGGTGCTTCTCATCAGCTGGAGGATCAGCAGAAAGCTCTCCCCCTGTGTTTCCCTGCATCGGTAAACACAGAGCTGTTTTACTGCAACTTGAGACATCACGGCTGGGGAAGAGGGGGGGACTTGGGTTAGTGGGGCAGACGGTGACGAGCCTGATGTATCCCACTGCTTGGGAAAGTTTAAAAGAAGGCTGAGTCTGTGCACTCCACTCAGCTCATCACTGGATTAAAGAAAGAGAAAGACTCAGTGCCACGCTTGACTTCCTTGTGAATGTGCTGTGTTGCATGTGTATTATTGAAGCGCCAGGAGGGGGCTACTAAAGGCCAACTCTTTTCATGTCCCCTTGTCATCAGCATTGGACAAAAAGCAGCCGGTGGCAGAGATGCTCTCAGAAAACAGAGTCATGTGATGAGCTGCACGGCTGCAGAGACACGCACACACACACTGATTCTTTACTGTTGGCGTACCGCGCTCTGCTATATAAGGAGCTGTTTTTTTGGGTCACTCAGCTCGATGGAGAGTGCACACAGACGCTCTGGGCTTTCTGGAAACCAGTGTGAAACTGGGTGGCAGGTTTACATGTGAGCCACAAAGTTTCCATTATTTCACCCAGATTTCCCCTGAACACATTCAAAGTTAAGATTTTTTCCAGTGCTGCAGTTCATCTCGAGCAAAACATTTAAAACCGTGATTCTAGATCTCGTTCATTAGTATTCATTAGTATTAAACTAATACTCCTCTAATTTTGATGTATTTCTGATCATATGTGAGCTTTAAGATCTTAAGTAGGTTTACTTAATCATGTGTAATGAATAAACATAAACCACTAAACCAGTGTCAAGAGCCATCCTTAACCCTCAAGCGACCAGGCTAAGAATATCCAGATGGGATCACTTGTGACTTATCAGGAATTCAGTTGTTCATGTACCAAACAAGGAACAAATTAACAAAAAAAGACAAATTTGCAAGGAAAAAGTAACAAATTCTCACATTTAAAAAAAAAGAAAAAAGAAAAGTGGTTTGTTTGTTTGTTTTTAACTGAAAAATTGCAAAATGTTCCTCGAAGGAAGAAAAAAGAAAGAAAGAAAAATGCCAGAAATTCTCAAGGTGAAAGCCACAGACTTACGAGGAAAGAAATCACAGGTTCCTTCTTTTGTTTTAAAATTTGTGAGAAAGAAGTAACGAATTTTATAAGGAAAAAGTGACAAATTCAAAACGAACCCTTTAAAGCAAATCGTGTTCTGGCTTTTCTTTTTCCCCACTGAAAAACCAAAATAAATTCCACAATATATTTTGTAATTATTAACTTACAAAAAATGCCCGCTGTAGCAAATATGATACAAATGAACACTCATATATGCAAATTAATATTTCATTTATTTTAAAGACCAATCGGAAGGTTCAATAAACACTCAGTTCTCAAATGTTTCTTTTTGCAATTATTTCATGGTTAAGGCTTTAAAAAGTTTTTAAAATTTTACATCATATTTTCTACAGGAATACTTTCTTGTTAATATGAAAGCCGATAATATCAAAACAAAGGAACCGTATATTTCCACAATTTCTCTACATGAAACGAATGTAAAAGTTGTGAAATTATTGTTCGGACACATTTTGACCATAAGAAATTGTCATAACAGCACATGCCAACAGACGACTGTGATGGTAAATTAACCCACATTCATATAAAGGAGATTATATGGATTAAGTTTAAAAAAAAAAAGCTTTGTTTAGTGTCAGAATGTTTAAAATAGTCTCAAATCCAACATGACAGGAATTGTTAGCAGTGCTAATGGACGTTAGACACTTGCATCAGGATAAGCCTTGTTAACAGGGACATGTTTGCAAGACCAAAATAAATAAACTAATGGTGCTTTTGTCCCTTACTCATATATTTTACTCTTACTGATATATTTTATTTTTCTAGATTTATGCTAAATATGGTCTCCAAGAAACCCTGGGAACAATGTGCTGCAATACAGTCCTATACAAAAGATGATTAAACAACAACAATCATCCAAACATTAAAGACAGCTGCTAATTTTGCAAGCTTTGCAGATTTTTTTATTTTAATTTTTTTTATTTGACTACTGGTGGCACTGTTGAGTCGGTGATGGTAACAAATGGGGTGCTGAAAATATAAAACAAACAGATTTTATTTTATTTTATTCGTTTAGGAAACTTCTACACTCACTTATATTCGGTTGCTCTAACTTGCGTGACCCAACTGCCCTGCTGGGATTGTCCGTCAGCAGATCCTCTACTTTAGCCAAAAAGAAGCACAGCGAGGAGAGGTTCCTGCCGAGGAAATGAGCAGCCACAAAGCTGGATTATTGATCCTAGCAACATGGGCTTAGCAACCGCAGCTTGTTTGGCAGATCCACTTGCAGGCGACGGCGCTGCAGGGCGCTGCCGTCTGACTCCAAGATGCCGCAAAGTTGACGCTCTGCTCTGCTTCTGCGGAGAGCGGTGTCACGTCGATGCTACTCTGGCTCTGTGTGGTTTGAAGGAATGATGGCACTACGCACACGTCTCATTTTCTGTTTGGTTTTAGGTTTCATATGTACACTTTACATCCTGCAGGCCTCTCAGAGCCACTCTGAATCTTGGCAGCAGTTTTTCTTAGTGGAAATCTTGAATGTTTGCTTTCATATTCACAGTTATTGCATTGATTTAGTTTATTTTCTCTGCCTTTTGATGTGTATTACACATGACATAATAGGGCCAAAAAGGGAGGAAGCTCCCAGGAGAGGATGGGTTATATTACAGAAATGTCACAAATTTATGAGGAAAAGAAACTCACATATTTGAACTTTTTAAAAAATGAGTTAATAAATAAACTTCCCAGACTGCAAATTTATCATTATTAAGACATAAATTGACAATTTAAAAAAACTAAAAAAAAACCTCAAACTTTAGAAGAGAAAGAAGTCAAGTGAAGCATAAAAAAGTAACAAGTTATTGAGGAAGAAAGTCACGATTTTGTGACGGGAAAGAAATCACACATTTAGGGGGGAAAAAAATCAGTTATATGAGGATGAAAAGTTTTATAAAAACCTTTTTTAATAAGTCCCTGCAGACTTGTAGTCTGAATCGCAGTCTTTTAGGTTAAGTATGGCCATAAATATGGAGAATAAAAGCGAGAGCCTGCCTTCATATTCATTAAATTCTCTGTCTTAAAGATTTTCTTGTTTTCCTCAAGCATTTTATTTAACATAACATAAACATAAATAAGACAAATTGAGACTTGTTGGCTCACAGAACATATGTGAGCGTGTTGAAATCCAGTGATGTAATCTTCATGTGTGGTAGCTTTGTTTCCCAACATCACCTGTAAGTGCATCCCAAACCTCTGGTTTGATTTTCACGTGTAGTAAACTTGACAGTGAGTTTATGTTCAGATGAAATAACGGCTGATTAGAGGCTTGAGTGACAGACGTCTGCTCTCTGCAGCTGCTGACATATATCCCCATCGTCTTTTTTAACTACGCCGCTGTTTGCCCAGATGATGCAGGAGTGAGATTCCTGCTGAATGTCAGGTCAGCGGGGATCCGCGTGAAAGGTTGTGCTGGATTCGCGCCAAGCTGCTGTTCAGATAAAGCTAGGCGCGGCCGCATTTAGCCCTACATTTGTTGTGAAACTTAGTCGTCTTGTTTCCGCTGTTGGGTCAGCTCCGATCATCACATTCACCACCTGTGACTGATGCTCAGCCTCTTTGCCGTTACATAATCCTCCTTAACAGGTTTGTGCAACATTTAGCAACAGCACGTTTATGTGGTTTCTTTCCTGGAAAGGAGGAAGAATTCCTTTAGTGTCAGATTGTAGACAGGGAGATGAAAAGAGACTGCTTGTTCTGGGCGTTTGTGAACCTTTTGTTTTCTCTTTGCAGCTCGGTGCAGAACAGCGAGCGAGGGAAGAAGATCGGAAACGCCATGATGACAACCAGTCGCAGTGTAGTCCAGACTGGGAAGGCAGTCGGTAAGGCAGCTGCTCAGTTAAACCCAGATCAGACTGTTACCAGTCAACATGTCATTAAAGTGCAAACTTTGAGCTTTAATTCAGCTTTCAGTTTGAGCCCCAAAGAGATGACAGTACAAGTGAAGTAGGCCATCATTAGGCTGAAAAATAAATCTATTAGAGAGATCCAACAATGTGGCACATTCCTAAAAAGCAGACGGGCTGGCTCAGCAACACCAAAAGGCCTGGAAAACCACTGAAGTGGATGATCACAGAATTCCATGGTTCAGAAAAACCTTTTACAAAATACAACCAAATGAAGCACTTTTGAGGAGGTATGCATATCATTGTCAAAGGCAAATATAAATACAGAAAGTTGACAACAAGGGGCAAAAAACACCAGTTACACTCAAAAACAGGAACGCCACATAAGACTTGAAAGACTTATGGCAGGAATGGGGAGCTCCAGGCTTTCAAGGGCCAGTGTCCTTTAGATCTCACCCTGGGTCAACACACCTGAATCAAATGATTAGTTCATCAACAGGCCTCTGGAGAGCTTCACGACATGTTAAGGAGGTAATTTAGCCATTTAAATCAGCTGTGTTGGATCAAACACACATCTAAAACTTGCGGCCCTTGAGGCCTGGAGTTCCCCCACCCCTGACTTATGGCATGGAACCAGGAAATGGAACCTTCACTTCAATTTCAGCTTGCTTTTATTTATGTACTGCCAAATTACCACAAGAGTAGCTCTCAAGGGAATTTATATTGTAAGGTAAACACCAAGCAGTAAAGTACAAAGTGATAATGAACCAAAGCAAACCGCAAAAGCAACCCAAGAGTTTCTAAAGGGTAAAGAAACTGAGTATTCTTCAGAGACTTAGTTACCTGATCTCTGTCAAACACAGCATGCTTTTAAGTGTTTAAATACAAAACTGAATGAAGTTTTATAAAAAACTGTAGAAACACTTACAGACCTAGCTGTAACCATGACTTTGCCCTTATTAAGTAATCAAATGTCTACTGTAAGAAATCGTTCTGGTGTCACTGTAGGAAAAACAAAAAAGTAAAGTGAAATTCTCTATTTTCCACTCTCAGGTCAGTCAGTGGGAGGAGCATTGACCAGCGCCAAGACGGCCATGTCCACCTGGTTCTCCACATTGGCTCAGCCGGCACCAGCATCCACCCCAGCCTGTCCTGAACCTGCCACTGCAGTCAAACCGTGACAACTGACACCCCCGGAAATCCTCATTGACTCTGTTTCTGTGTCATCCTCTGATTGTGAAGCTTGGGGGCCGACAGAGTGAGCGCTAGTTTCATGAAGGATAGTAAATCTCTATTCAAAATCAAATGAGAGCCATCTGAAATATACAGCCATAAGTTGGTGTTTCTGGCACTTTTTTCCAGCATCATATTTGCGGGGCGCATCCCAGACAAGGAGGCAGACACTGCCTTTGTGTTACCTGTACAGTCCATAACCACTGTGAGGCAGAGACTGCCACTGCTTTTCATCAAAGCCAGAAAATTCAGCAGGTTGCATTATTATGTCTGACCGCCTCTTTCTCACTGCTGCCGTTTGTATTGCTGGATGCTTTCCTGTGAGACACTAGAGATGCTGTTCTGGGGTTTGCAGTGTTCACTCTGTGCTGCATATCTATACAGTTTGTCTAAAAAGGTGACTATTTTGCTGAGAAATGACATTAAGTAAAATATATATAGAAAACATAAGTCACAGCATTGAATGGAAAAGCATGATCTGTGGTCCCTTGAAAGTTTTAATGGTACACATTTTGAATGCAGTCTGGATCCCGTTTACCCGTCCCCTGTGGTAACATTGTGGTTAATGCAGTAACAGCGTGAAATATAACGTATCACTTACAACAGCAAATCAAGTGGTAATGAATCAGAATTATTGTTTTTAATTTAACAGGACTGATTTAAAGTGAAAAAATCAAAACAAAAACTTCTTTATAATAGTCGCTAACATCATCAAATTTAGCAAGCTAATGCTACTTTTTAGCTAGCTTGAGAAAAAGAATATTATAAGGAACATTATTGATTGCTTGATTTTTTTTTTTAAACAAATAACAAACAAACAAACATAGCCAATGAAAAGTAAGTTAAAATTTCTGTATTATTTAAAATTTTTGATTTACTTTTAAGTTGAAATTATAAGATACCCAACTTCAAATGTTGACTCCTCTAGAAGCTAACCTGAAATTTTAATTTATGGATAGTAAAAAAGTCAGAAACAAGCTTTCCTAGAAAACATGCAGTTATAATGATTGACATTTTTTTGAATATTGTTTTTAAAAAGAGAAGAATTTAATAAGATGAGTCTAACATTTTTTTTAAGCAAAAGTCGTCCCCCCCAAACTAAAACACACAAGAAAAATGGCTAATGTTACTTTACTTTTCAACTAGCTTACAAGTTAAAAAAAAATGTAATTGTAAATGTAAAATTAAATTTCAGATTTCTTTCCTTTCAGATGGAACTTCAGACTTCTAAGTCGTTGTGATAACAACATTGTGTTTATGACTTAAAGTTTATGGACCTTTAAATCTTTAAAATCTTTGCAAATGTAGGAACTAATATGTGAACACTATTAACATGACCATAAGACACTAATGTTACAAAGAGAAATGTTGGTTTGATGTGACCATTTAAATGAAGTTAACCAGTTAACTTTGTTTGATTTTTTTTGCTGCTGTTACCAGAAAAACAGACTTTTTTTTTTAATGGCAAATGTTAGCTTTAGCTAGGTAACAGCTAAAGAAAAAGCTGGCGTAAAAAACCCACCAATGTTACTTAAACTGGCTTAATTTGGCTGTTCCAGGATATTTTGGTGAGGAGATATAAAATAATAATTTTATTTTAGACAATAATGGGAAGGAGTCAAAAAGGAGAAAATGGGAAGCCTTTTTTTAAACTAACTTGTAGCTTAAGTTACTGAGTCCACTGTATTGTTTAGTATCAATTATTTTTACATGTAAATGTTTTTATTTGATTTACATTTTGTCTGTTTTGTGGAAATATGTAATTAAAAACGGTATCAAATTGAATAATTATTTTCAGTTGACATTACTTGATTAGTCATAGCTCTAGATTTGATTCACTCCTACATAAACATTACAATTCCAAATTTCAAATCCTGAACACGCTGTTATGATAACACCACAATGTTATTACAGAAATCCTTGTGAACCTAATGTCTGATTGTGATGAAACCCAGCTGTGTTTGACAGGGTATTGTAATCCCTTACCTAAGCCTTTTTGTACTTTACTGTCAGTATACATGCATAAATATATTTTAAAAAGTATATTTGAAGATGGTAAAGCAGACAACTTATTTATTTCTTGTGTAACTTGTTGTCCCACGACTATCCATGTTTTGTTGTAACAACACTGGAAAAAGTCCCAGTCTGTGGACCACTGTGTATTTGCACAAAGCAGCTGTTATATCTTCTTTTTATGGATCTTTACCTTGTATAACTGTAATTTTGAGGTGCTTGAAGGATCTTTTCCCTCCATGCTACAAATACTCAACAACTGTTGGATTAAAAGTGGTCCAGTGAGCATGCTCTGTCCAGTCCAGTTTTACAGTTTTTGTTTTCTTCTTCACGCTTCTTTGGACATTGACTCATTTTCTGGTGTTTTGATTTAGAACTAAGTATGTTAAATTGCTAACTGTAAAGAAAAGCTGCTTTTTTAAAAAAATCCTCTAATGATATATTTTCATTTTGTATTTAAGTATATATATATATGAATGTATTATGAATTCAGATTATTTTCTTGACAGATGCTTTTAATGTATTGGAGAAGGACATCGGGTTAACTATATTGCTGTATTAAACAATCAAAACAAAAACCCACCAGACTTTTATTTTTAGCATACACGGGAGCATTTATTTTCCTTTATCCCTCTGGGTTTTTGTCTGGGAACAAATGTAGGTTAGTCCCCCACCCCCCCTACACAAAAAAAAAAAGCGCTGGTGTGTGAGTGAGAGAGGGGGGGGCTGTTGTTGTGGTGGCAGCACCACATGGCTTGACAAAAACACAGCAGTGTTGTCCGACAACTGCACGCTGGCATAACGGGAACTCATGAACCCGACGACCTTGCATGTGGCTTTACCCAGAGACAATCAGAAATTCACACCCACCGAATCCCTCCTTCAGGGGAACTCATTTATGTTTTTAAATGATGCCTAATGATTAGCAGAAATCTAAAGAGAAAACCCTTAGTTCCGTTTCTGGTACATAAACATCTATGTTTGTGTTTTAAGTTCAGTTATTACCCAACTATTTCACAAATGACAGCATGTTTCCACTTTCAAAACCTTTCTCCAGACTCATTTCTCACCATCCTCAGTGGTGCTTGTCTATTAGAATATTTCTAATGCGACATATTGGGTTCAGATAATTTCAAAAAGTAAACTAAATGACAAATTTGTCCAAACTTAGTGCTGTTGGGTAAGTCCTAAACTCCTGAATGTAAGCCTCAACATTACTGTTTTGACCATTTTTGGAGCGTTAAGGCATCAAAAGGACAAACGAGAATTCCAGCTTATTCACTCAAGTTCGCTGAGGTGAAGCCTAGCAGACATCACTTGACCAGCTTCACTTTTCAAATTGGCCGCACCCGACCCCAGCATCCACATGGATTAGATTTACAGTTGTAATGAAGCTAAAAAGGTTTCCCCATATCTATAATCATGTTTATTCTGCTGCAAAGTTGGGCAGTTTCACGTGAAAAAGATGTGTTGCAGACTCCAATTACTGTCTGCAACACATCTCTGTGGAACAGGGGACTTGACTCAGCTAGTTGTACTCCTATATAAAAGCAAGGTTGCTGATGAGCTGTGTGATTTTGCAGGTAAATCGCTGTTGTGCAGCAACTGTGTCACTATTTGTGGAAGAACTTCTTTCAGATCTCGAAGGTTTTGGCTTTACTCTATGTAAGTTGTTAATGTAAAATAGATCGCAAGAGATAAACAAACAGGGAGTCTACTTTCAGGAACGTTTTTGGTATGTTTTTTAATAAATTAACGTTCATTCAAAATACAGTGCCAAAGGAATATGATGCAGCCAAACATGCTAGTAAGGTTCGTCATGAAGCACCTGTGCTCATGTTTATAAAAAAAATAAAATAAAAAAAAAATAAGTAGGAGGAAGACCCCTTCCCTCCTCTAACCCCACCCCTCTCCACTTTCTGCTAGTGGTTGGCGGGACAGTTTCCTTAGCAAAAAATCCCAAGGCCAGCCCGCTCCTCTCACAACCAATCAGCAGCAAGATTCCTCGATATTCACTTCGGAAAATGTAATTCAATAGGGGGAAAAAAAAAAAGAAAAAGAAAAAAAATATACCCACAATCACACTACAGTAATGTCTGATATTAATTTAAAAGACAAAAAAAAAACAAACCCTAATACAAAATAGACCTGGTTATTTCCCCACACTAGAACAGTTTTCTTTTAAACATATGAAAAATAGATATTCTATTATACATTTTATATATTTCAGCAGCTTGGAAATAAGAAACAAAAACTTAAAAAGATGATGAGCCAGAAACCTGTTTGTACTGTGAATGGAGTTGTGTGTTGGAGAAAAACAAAGTGTCACGATCATGTCACGGCAGATCGAGTGAGGCGTTGACTGCTGGCTGTGTGGAAGACCGGTGTGCAAACCAACTCGAGGAACAGGCAGCGGCGGCGTGAGGGCAGAGGACAGAGAGGTGAGGCGACGGGTGGCTGAACCTGCAGTCACCCTCTCTCTCGCTTTTAAAAACAGCCTCTCTGGCCTTTCCCCAAAAACCGCAGCCTCTGCTTCCCTCGTCTGCAGGCCTTTTGAGGAAATAAGTGATCCTGTTTTTTGAAAAAGGAAAACTCTGCTGGAAATTAAACTTCACCTGCTTTGTGACTGCAAGAGAGAGGGAAGAAAAAAAAAAAGTAAACCAGTGTTACTGAAATTTGAAGATGTAAGCTTAAACTCTTAGATTAGAAACTATTTCATTACCTCTGCAAAAAAAGTTACAGAAAAGCAGCAAATCTTATAAAAGCTGAAAGCAGAGAATGACGCAGTTAAAATCTAATACAACTCTTTTTTAAAATTAAGAGTCAAACATTTTCAGTTTTAAGAATCAAATGGGGAGAACTGCTGCTTTTCTACACTTTTGCACTCTACACTCACTTTTGACTGACTTTAACTATGTTAACTTAACATCTGAAATCAGCTTCTTTTGCACAGAGCAAAAGAAAAATGTTAAAGTGGATCAAACTGAGGTTCTCATGCTGTAAAGCCAGATTTTCTGCAGAGTATTCCTTCATCAGTAATGAGAGAAGAGGGGGGGGAAAGAACAGGAGCGGAGAGAGGGGGAAGCAACAATCTAATAAGGGGCTTTGGGGGGTAATTTTGGTACAGTTGCCATTGACATTTGAGTAGATTTACAAGTGCATCATTATCCTCATCATCATCTGCATCTGCTGACGTTTAGATTATCATATTGTAGGAACTAGAGCCTGAACGACGCTGGATCTTTTGGTTTGGATGCTTTTTTTTTTTATTATTATTATTAAAAATTCTGTATATTGGTGTATATACACACACACACACTAATCAGCCACAATATTAGAACCACCTGCCTGAAGATCAAACAGCTTTGACACCACTGCATTGTACTGCAAAGAGAACTATGATCATGATTTTAGGATAAGTTATAACACCAAAGCTAAAGTGATGTGATGCGTGTCTCCTACCAGTGAGTGGCAGTAATGGACCTAGAGGCTGCTGCACACAACGAAGCACGAAAAGCCAGCGGTGACTTAACGGCTGTCAACGTAAACGAAAATGAGATTTGACACAAACTCCGCCAGGTGAAACTAACAAACTGTGCCACAACTGTTGAGTAATTCCCAGTGAATATAAGAGTGCACCGTGCCTTGAAACGACCAGAAACCTCCAAAGAGTAAACGAAAATGAGGTGCAGAGCAAACTTCGCCAAGTGAAACTGAAACAAAACAAACTGTGTTACAACTGTTATGAACAGTGATATAATACTGAATAGTTCCCAGTGAATATCAGTGTGTACAGTGGCTTGAAATAACCATCATTGGAACGAAAAATAAATAAAAGATCAGCTTTAACGTTGTGGCTGATCGGTGGAAATACAAACCTGGAGCATTTCAGATTGTTCTCATTATTTATCATGGTTAAAATTACTTTTGGAGGCAGATCGCCAATTGCCTGACCACGTTTCAAAGCTGTGATTCCTACTCTGCTACATGTGCTGCTGACAGTGCTGAGTGAATGTAAACCATGAGTCCAGTGTTTCTCATGCAGACATGGGCAAAAAACTTCCACAAATTTAAACGCTCTTATTTTCAAAGCCCACTCCCTTCCCACCTCATGTTTCCCTACTGGCTGGCTCACTGTTGTGGTGGTCCTTGCCTCTCCAGCCTTTCCCCCTGTGGTAGATTTGGACAGCTGCTGGCACTGGTCAGCAGCTGTCCAAACCGAGTGATGAGAGACTCACCGGAGAGGCAGCTGAATATATTGCACTGTTATTTATCACAGAGACCACAGCAATTGAAAACTGCAGAGGAGCACCTTATAAAACAGTAATATTTTTTTTTACTCATTTCAGAATGTGACCACCACAAACAGAAACGAAATCTGCAGGAAACACTGGAGTCTGAGTTGCTTGGACGCCTGAATGACCTCAAACTTTGTTTCTTGTGTTACGTTCGTAGAAAAATATCGGACAAGACACGTGCCAATTGGGCACCAGCTGATATCGGTCGGGCTCTAGTTGGAACAGTATGACAAATGTAGGAAAATCTAAACACATTTCACTGGCAAAAAAAGAAAAATAAGAAACCAATGAACACGGGGAAAACATTTTTTTAAGATTACTAGTAATTTTGAGGGGGCGTTTTTTGTTGTTGCTCCAAACTTGTTTTGGGCTGCTCATCAGCAACAGCCTCTGAAGTCCAGAGCTCCCTCTACAATACAGAAAGTCAAACCCTTTTGTTTTCTAGAGTTCCAATGAGCCCCCTCCCCTTATTGTTTATTCCTTGGTAATATAGTCTCCTGCTTTAGACGGAGAGATAGGGGAGGGGTGCTTATGAGCTATACGTTAGGGAGGGCCACCAGCTCACCGTCCACCTCGAACTCCTCTGCGCCATCGGGGGAGAAGAGGTATGTTGGGGGTTTCCAGGGGGATTCCTCCAAACAGGAGGGATACAGCTTCCCCACCGCACAGCGGAAGTCCTTGCCTAGATCCCAGAGCACACGTTCCGACACGGGCTGCCGCAGGAACCAACGGTCGAGCTCCACGTCATACTGATAGATGGCATACTTGGCACGCTCGTTCATGTGGGTTTCACGCATGAAAATGCAGAGCGAGTTGAGCAGCACCACGGCCCGCACGCACGGGTCGGAGTAGCGCTTGGCAGGGATATTCGCCGCCAGACGCCACTCATTCTTCTTGACATCATAAATCTCCACAGTAACTGAGGAGCCGTCAATGGTGCTCGTTGGCAGACGGATGCCGGAGTTGCTGACAACGTGGAGCCCGCCGATGTAGAAGATGAGGTCGCCGAAGGCGGCTGCAGATGCAAAACAGCGGCTCGTCTTGCGCATGGCCATCTCCATCCAGGTGTCGGCTCGTGGCAGGTAGCAGTACATCAAATCGTGGGTCATGACGTATATGCAGTTATGCGCCACCACCGAGGTGCTCCAGTTCCAGGCGAAGGGTAGGGGGCTCATCATGGTCCACTCGTCCTTCTCGCAGTCGTAGCGCTCCACTGTGCGTTTATTCAGCTCTCCTCCGACATTATCCCCTCCGATTGCATAGATGAAGCCGTCGCAGTAGACCAGCGTGGGTTTGATTCGAGCACACAGCATGGGGGTTTTGGGCACCCAGGAGTTTTGCTGGGCATCAAACCAGAAGAAACTATCGACTGAGCGGAACACCGCCTGTAACTTGCCACTCTTGCCATGGTTGGAGATTGAGTTTTTGAGAGGGATCTGCCCACCAGCGATGAACACGTCATTATCAGGAGTCACAAGCGTGCCCACCTTCTGCAGGTCTCCCGGGGGATTGCACAGCTTGTACACCTTCTCCGCCTGTGGGCTGTAACACACTACTGTAGTAGGCACGTTCGAGGAAAATACATAACCGTCACTGTGGGTTTCTGACATGGCCTCCATGAATATCAGCATCTCCTCCTTAGTCATGCCTAACCGTGGCTTGAAGAACTTGGGCATGGATTTGTAGAGGCCCTGAACCACCACAGACTTGTCGTTAGGCGGCAGACCCTGGAACCAGGCGCGCTGGGTCACCTCAGACAGTGCATCTATGCGAATCTGACTCAGAACCGAGGACAGGTGCTGTGACCGTGCCTCCATATTATACTCCAACCACAGCATAGCAGCCTCGCGCACAGTCTCCTCTTTTTCGACGTTGAGGTTGTCACTGCTCAGGATGTCTATGAGCAGCTCGTGGGACAGCTGGAGGAAGGTCTCCTGTCGGTACACTTTGGGGAACTTGTGCTCCACCATGCGCTTGGCGCTCTGCTTCAGCTCACTACAGCTGTAGAGGTCACCGATGCTCAGCATGCGGACGCAATTCTCAGCGTTGATCTTCTTCACCAGGTAGTCTCTGCACTGCAGCAAGACATCCTCAACCTAAATAGGAGAATAAAGGATGTGTCTTTAGTTTTAGTCTTCTTCATATTCTTATCTTTAAAGATACAAAATAAGGATAGAATTTATCGAGGCCACTACCAGAGCACTACTTTCAGTGGCGGATTGATACAAATTCAGATCAACAACAGAGCTCTTTGGCACAGAGAAATAGCACAGGTTGTTCCTTTTCTTTGTCCTTCACTGCACTGACCTGCAGGAAGCAGGCGGTCTCGTAGAGTGGCTCTACTGTGCTGTCGCTGATGGCCAGGTTGCCCGTATAGGCGTACGTGATGATGATCTGCAGGGTGGCCGCGTCCACGTTCCTCAAGTGGACGTGGGTTTGCGTGCTCTCGCTGAGGCCGCTCATGAACATTGCCCTGCGAGTGAAAGACCAGAACAACAGTGAGACGACAGTCAACGCAGCAGCCGATGTAAGAGGAAGTGAAACAGCGAGATCGCATGTCAACTGAGGTTCACTGGTGTTCATGAAGATATGAAATTTTAATCATATGCATCACCCAATTTAAAAAATAAATAATATGAACAGAAAACATTTTCCACACCATCTTAATCATAACTCAGAGCAAGATAACAGATACAATGAGCTCTGATGGAGAGGAGCCTGCTTTATCCAGTTTGTACTTTCCTCTCTTTCTACAGGTAACTCTGGCATTATAGCTGCCAGTTATCTAACATACTAATATGACACCCGTTTACTGACTTCTTAATATCTGTATAAAATTTCCGAACTAAGTTCAGCATTTCCCACACAAAGGCTTCACTTTAAAGTGAGTTTGTCACCTCATTTTAACATTTCTGTTCAAATTATGTCTGACTGAAACACAGGACTGACAATTCTTTATCCATCTGTCAGGTTCTAATCGTGAGTCATTAATATGAAAACAATTATTAATCCAAAACTGATCCTGTTTAACGGGGCAAACATCCTGAGACAAAAATCGGTGAAACAAACCATTTCTTACACCAGTAACGGCACATGCATGCTGGGTAACAGTAACTAACAACTGGTTGTGTTATGTCATGCATCTTTATATTATAAAATTATATGAAGACCAACTTATCCAAAAGTCACATTAAAGATACCGTGACCTACAAGAACACCAATGATAGAATTTCAGGTCAGCTGAGTTTCCTCCAACTTCATCACCTTGGGCTGCCTCTGCTCTGGAGCATCACTCCAACCTACTTCATGTATTTTTACATGAAGTCACCAAGGCTGAAGAGCAGACCAGCTTAAGTTATTTTCACCAAGTACCTTTGACAAAACAGCTCCAACTCTTTGTATTGGAGTTCACAATCTGTGGTAAACACTGCAGCATCACAGATTTACCTGGAACAGATGTTACTGCTGTCTTGTTGAACACTAATAAGCTTGTTTCACTAATACCAGATGACAAAAGGCAACAAGCAACACCCAGAACCTGGCTGGTAGTCTCCAACCCCCACATTGCATCAGCAGCCTCGGTGGGATGCCCACGCTGCCATGTTGTCATTCATCAGCAGCTGGCGCGAATCAGAGCCTCTTTACTGCATCAGTTCATTCAGATTTACAAATCTGAGAAACAGTTAGTGGCTTGAGATGGTAATTTACATTTATTTGGATTCTGTGCTAGATACAGAGTGTTCAGAGGCACCGTGTATTACTGCACAACTACTATTTTGGGGAGGCCGAAAGCACTAACACTTCATTTCCTTATGCCCACTTAAAATCCAGAGAATCCCCTGCTCTAAAAAACATCCGGAAGATAATTCGCAGTCACTGGTTGGAGGATTTGAAGCCCTTTGTGCTTGAATATATCAGCTTTTTGACATTGTGGTGAGCACTGTTGAATGTTGTTCAAGGGTGATAAACAGCTGACTACAACATGCTGCTCTAATTTTTATTTTTCAAAGCAATCACTGTATGAAAAAGAAAGAACTGCTCTGCCCACCTGAACACTGGCTTTTGGGGGCTGTGTGTCTGTGTGCTGATCACAACAGCGACCAAACCTGCCAGCCTGTATTACGCAATCCTGCAGGCATACCCCTGCACACCCCCACCTCCCTTGTTTCCCCACTTTTTGCTCTCCATCTTTCACCAGGACCTACGTGACCAGACTTTCTCCCTATAAACACAAGCGCTCTGCACAGACGCCCTCCATTCCTTGAAGAGAGGCATGCGTGGAGAGAAAGAGGAGGAATAGGCTCCACTTTAAAGAGAAAGTGCTGCGACACCTCTACACCCCGAAGGGGAAACATTTCCCATGTTCGCACCAGATAACGACTGCATGGGAAACGGTTGTGAGAGGTCTGAATTGATGGGAGGGTTTTCTTGGAGTGCATGCAATGAGACAGGAAGGAGGTAGATTGTGTGTTCAAATGCTGCAGGAGCTCCCATCATGCACAGAATCTTATTCACTACACTGCACACTCTTTATCATGCAATGTGGTGTGGACAAATGAGGCCTCGGGGGGCTTTGATTGATATGTTTGCTTCATATTTTCCCCCCCATGCATAAATATTTCAGTGCCCATACCACAAAGCAGGTTCAAAACCAGCATCTACCTACCTTATCACTGAACTTAGCTTAACATCAACAATCAGACAAAAGCTCAATTTCTATTTCTGCACCGAATCCATGTAGAGTTATTGATGCAACTTCTGTAAATGGCCAACACTCCTCTAAAAATTCACCACTCAAACCCTGGTTCACGGTGGAGTTTCTCTTTAAATTCATTCTCTTCCAGTTGATTTGAAAAATGACAAGAGAAGAAGAAAAAGCAGGAAATGATTTATCAAATCAAACAATTTTGATCACTACAGGCACTACGTGTGATAACAGCCATGTATGTGCCAGTAATAATTCTCAGTTACTGCAATTCCTAGTAGCGATAGGAAATCTGGACAACGTGATAAACATGCACATAACACTGCCACTGCAGGTTAAACACATAATGAGGGCGTATCCAAAACCACCTAGCAAGTTTTGTTTGTCCAACATCCAAGTAGAATCCATGGCTAAAGACATCCACATACTTGCTGGATACGCCGCGACAATCATCACTGCTTGCAGCTTTATTTTAATCAGTTCTTACTTCTGCAGGTTTGTCACCGTGTGAGAAATTGAAGACATGCATCTCCTAATGTTTGAGTTAGCTGAGCAGGTGGTTTGATTTATGGGGTCTTGCAAACTTTAACCTTCCAATGTTTGACTTTAAATACAGTCATGAGCACTACTACTGTCAACTCTAGAAATTGTCTAGATTGTCTCCATCTCTGCTGACAGCTACATCATCTTTACTGGTTCATCAGCATCAACTCTCTGCCTCCATCTGTGTCTGTCCCGGGCTACATGTTGGCTCCTTCCCTTTTAGCTCGGCCGTGGTACATAGTGCAGACCAGAGCAGTTCAGTCCCTTAGTTTGGACTCAAGCAGACCATCTTTTACACCTGTCTTCCTGGTGAAGGCTTTAATCAGAAACTGCTGCCCAAAAAACAAAAAACGTTTTTGTTGATAAAACAGACTACTTCTGTCGAACAGGCGGACACTAAAATGCATTTTACAGTCAATACTCACCTATTTTTAAAATGCATGCTGTCTAGTCCTGATGACAGCATGCATTTTAATAAGACGGCGTCTCAAAAACATGGCTTCCTTCATATTTTTAATACCACCACGATGAGCCTCTTCATTGTAATTACCACACTTTCGTTAATCAGAATCATCTTTTTTTTTGGCCAAGTTCGTTCACACAAACAAGGAATTTGACTTCCTTCAGCTTGTGCTTGCTCGACAAACATTTTTCCTGGTTATTTATGTCAAACCCTCAACTGGTGTAGAGGACATTCCAGCACTCAAGTAACCCCATCCACTTGTTTTGTATAGAGCAGGTAACACTTGCTCTACTACAAGATGCATTATTCATTAAAACTGAGGGAGGTGAGCACCCACAGACCTCACCAGGCTACATAAAGACAGCATGCATACATCTCCTCGCATTTAGAGTCACAAGCAGCCCGAGGCTGTTAAAAGCAGACGTGCACAACGCGAGTTATTCCATCCCCGTGAGGCGCACTCACCTGAAATAGGAGCTACACGTGGCCAGGACCATCTTGTGACACGGGAACTCCGTGTCCTCCACCAGCAGCACAACGTCAGTCAGTAACTTCTGTTCATAGAAGAACTTGAGCTGCTCCAGCAGGGAGACAGCGTAGTCCGTGTTGACCGGCCTTCGCTCACTGAGATCCGACATGGTCGCATCCCATGAATCCCGCCCCAGTTTTGAAAAGTAACGCAGCCGGCAGAACCGGACTCCAGCCAACCAGGAGAAAAAGTTACAATCTTAAAGATTCAAGAGGATAAATGGGGAAGGGGGAGTGGGCAGGGGCCAACTCTTTAATGACTCCCCAAGCCCAAGTGGAGGCGTACAACACCTATGTCGAAAAATATCTGTTGCTCCTTCTGCTAGAGATGTGCCAAAAGCTGAGCATCACCACGAGGCGTCCAGAGGAAGGGGGTCCGGGTTGAGGAACGGGCTGTTTCCCCCTTGTGGGCTTCCTATTTGTTGTCTGAGGTCATGCAGTGAGGCACTGGGGAGTGGAGGTAGAGAGAGAGCGAGCTGCTACATCAGTGCTTGTCTGTAAAAAAAGAAAAAAGGAAGCGTGAGTCTCACATGCAGAGAAACCGGCAGTAGAGGAAAAATAAGAAATCTACAAACTCTTTACATTCCTCAGATTTTCTTTAGGTTGTCTGAGCATTGAACACCCTGAAAAATTGCATTTCCTGTCAGAGTCTTAGCACTCACTTCACCCTCTCGTCCAGAAACTGCACTGGCAGCTGGTCAGCGAGTACAGCCGTTTTCCCACATGCACTGCAGCCTTGAATTCTGAGGAGCTCTTCAGTGAGAGCACAAATAACGCTGACATTAGTTGGTCTTTAACCTGCGCAGTCTGTGTGATCTCACACTAAAGAGTATTATCAGTTGAAGCACACCATTTCCTGCTGGGTGGGAAAGGTTAACACTGGAAAATATCCCCACCCGATTCGCTACCCAAGAAACATATACGTTTCAAAATCTGTAATGGTTTTTTTATTTTTTGTGCAAAGGCACCGTTTCCCACACTAAATTCTGTTGTATGAAGTGATTTGGTGACATGACATGATGATGGTGAAGATGGTAAATAATTACACCCCAAAATTCACAAAAATATGCAATCACTGCTTAGTGACTTAGACGATGAAACAACAAGAGATGCATGGATCTAATATTTGTATTGAATATTGGACTGACTCAAAAGATTGGGCTGGATAGAAATGTTATATTACAAAACTAGAGAGAGTGCAATTGAACAGAGTCTGATATTAGCTTACAAAAAGATTCCCAGTCACTCAATTTAATTTAACACTGGTATGGAATTGCTACTCAACATCGACAAATGCCCAAAGCCAAGCACCTGTATCGCACTGGAACTGGTAAGAGTAGGAAAAAGCCAGAAAACAGCCTGGCTAGAAACTACCCAAAACCCTTCTAAGAAACAAGACAGCATTTGAATTACATGGATTCACAGTTTTTTTTTTGTAAAATTATTATTGAAAGGCTACAATGTGTCCATTTTTAATGGACACATTGTAGCAGTCACAAAAGACATGTTTTGTTGTTTGCTGGTGTACAGCATGGCAGCATGGCTTCTCCATTGGTGCAAGGGGTTACCACAGGCTCCTAACTTTTATGTAGCAGAGTTTTTACACCAAACGCCCTGTCCTAACACAATCCTAAAGTAAACCACCTTCACAGGAAACCCAAGTTTAACTCTGATGTTATCTGGATAAGATCAACTGGTTTACGGTACAGACCTCAGGGGTCACCGAATAGTTAGGTGAGTGCGTTAAAGTCTTCACCAGTCACCAGATCCTAACTCTACCTAATACCTTAAAAGAGATTCTGGATTTTAAAGCACTCTCAATAATCACCAAACCATTTTGCCTGATCTGATCTCATTTCACCTTTGTTCACAACTGTCAATTAAACAAAAAAATGAGTGAAAATCCTCAGGAAATAACAATGTTTAAAAAAAATAAAAAAAATAAAAAAGTTCTATATGCAGTTACATCACCAGTAGCAGTGCCAAGAAGCAAGGAAGATGGGTCACCACATTTTGCCAGAAAAAAAAGCCTTACTAAACCACACTGAAGCAGGGGTTTTCCAGCTCCAATTAGTCACCTGTCTTGAACCTCAACCTCACCCAGGTCTATGAAAATCTACCTTGGAGTATAAGCCGCAAAGGTGATGTTATTAAGAAAAGAAAAGAAAAAAACCCCCGCTAATAATCTTTACCTAACATATGTTACATCAGTCTGCAGGCTAACGGATTCGGGGTTATGCATCGGTGCAATTTACTAGCACGTTCCACACACCGCGGAAAAACACTCTGCTGATGCAGAATCTAAGATCATCTATCTATCTATATTAACAGCTGTCAACTGTCAAGATTGATACAACTCCATCCACATTTATGCGTCTACAGGGTTTCTTCCACTTAATGCGGGCCCAATCTGCACGCAACACCTTGGAAAACGTGCTTTTTACGCAGCCAGCCAGCCACCGAGGACGCAGTCAGCCTCACAGCCTGCTAACAGGTTATCCTGCAGATAAACACTGAGATATTATTTTTTTTTCAGTCCGGTCAAACATTTTTCGGACCACACTGAAACTGGACTGCTAGCTTCGTTAGCACGTTCCACCACGTCCAAAACAAACCCCGGTGCTGTCTAAAACATGGAGCCGTTAGCCAGATGTTGAAGTTGGCAAACACCACGGGGCTATGTTTCTTACGTGTACCTCCACAGAGGTGGTCCCCAATTTGTTGATTACGATAGCTAGACATCTAGCCTCTATGTAACGTTATATCACTGGCTCAAGTAGTCACCCGCGGCAAGTTAGCAACTATAGCTTCCCCATTAGCTTCGTAGTTCCGGTGTACCTTACCAGTTAGCTAGCGAGAAGGATGAGCCGGCAGTTATAGTTAGAAAATCACGGATATAATATCATCAACTCAGCAAAGAAGCTGCTATGAAAAAAGGGCGTTATAGCAGTAGCTAACGAGAGTGGTCATGTTGCTAACACGCACACAAACTGCTAGGCTAGCTGCTAAAAGAGCTAAATAAGCTGAGCCACTTCTCGCGCAGAACGCCTAAAAAACAACAAAAAATTAGCTTACTGTAAACCTTAGCAGGATCCACACTCTAAACCGTCACGGGATTTCTTCCCATCAACAGAAGGCGTGCAGTGATCTCCCCGTGCCGAGCTGAGTAGCTGTGTGGAAGGTCCGAGCAGCGGACAACCTTTTAACGCATCATAAGCGCCTCCAAGACAAGAGGCCAACAGAGGATACTGCGCCTGCGCCGGAATCAAGCGAGCCGCGTCCTCTGGTGAAGAGACAAACAGCGACCCCTGCAGGACTGAGACAGACACTGCACCTGAGAAAAACAATTATGGACATTTATTTTAGAACCACCGACAAGAGCAAAGTCCCCTGCATTCTTATTTATTAAAAACATTTATTTATTAACACTTAACAATAAAACCCTAGTATTTTATTGATATTTACAATAATAGATAATATAATTTTCATTAATCTTACGGATCTAAATATATAGGCAAATAATTATATGTGACATTAGAATTAAGCTTTTAATCAAAGATTTGGCTCTACAAAGAAACAATCAAATAAGCAAATAAATACACAGAATCAAAAACAAAAAGACGTTTTTAAAGGATATCATATTAACCATATTTATTCGTGAGTTTTAGTATTCATTAGCCACGATCTCTTTGTACTATTCTGAGCCCTTTTTAAAATCGATATTTTCCTTAACTGACTTTGTTCGATTTTTGTTTAATTATGTCTCCCTTCGGCTAATAAAATAAAATACAATAAAACAAAATAACTGTCATGTCGATGTCGGGTGTTGGTCTGAATTTGGCATGTTCAGACATAACTGTCCGGCGTAACATAATTTAATTGACTTATTCACTGATGCCGACTCTTTATTTTGTGTGTCCGTTTTAGGTTGTAACCCCCTGGAATAAATCCTAACTATTTATTTATTTACAGGTCGCGATGCTGATTTCTCCGTTTGCACTTGAATCAGGCAGCCCTGCAGGAGTTGCAGCTGTTTCCTATATGACTGATTAACGGAGATGTTTCAGCTTTGGTTTATGGTCGCGTCATGTGGACCTGAGTGGGAAGCGTCTTTACCGTTGTTTGTTTAGAGGAACTTTAACTATAGAAGGAGAAAAAAAAGCAAACAAACGAACGAGTTTAATTTCCAGAAGCTTGGGGATGTTTATGTGGCTGTTTTAATCCCTCTGGAGGTTTTATTTCTGACAGGCTGAGCAAGAAGGAGAAAGAAAATGGACGGTAAAGGCAGCCTTAAGTATCTCATCTCATGCTGATTAAACCTTTAATTTAATAATAGATTATTTACTTATTGCTTGTTAATGATCTTAAAACACATTTTTGTAGATGCAAGCAAACAGCCACAATCATTTGGGAGTGGACAACAGAGAAATCACCATCCCAGACCTTTTTTCTATGTCCAGCCACCATCTCAGCCCTGCTACCTCTATCCACAGTGGCAGCTCAACAACCCATACAGTCACTTTGGTCTGCCTGGAGGTATGTACACTCATCCACTGTTGCATTAAACCTGCAGATGGTGCATGCAGCTTCATTGCCATTCATTCCCTTTATCTTCTCACCATCCTCCCAGCTTTTAACTTTGGCCGCCCCTGCATGCACCCTTACCAGTACATGCAATACCCTGGCTTTGTTTTACCACATGCTCCTATTTACCCGATGGATTACAGGCGAATGTTTGAGCCTCGCTTCCACGCTCCTGTCTGGGGCGACGTACCTCGCCAGCAGCAGCATCACTACCATCCACAGCCTCATGGCCGTCGGGAAACGGCCTGCTCGGAGGCCCAAACTGACCCCAGCGACGCTATAACCAAGCTCATAGAGTGCCTGGATAAAATTCGAGCCAATGAACTGCAGGGCGCCGAACGAGAACTCGACTCCGGAATTGCGTCCCAGTCCTCAGGAATGTTTTCTCCAGAAGAAGAAAAGAAGAATGAAGAGCAGGCTCGCATGTTGCATTCAGAGTCCACTACTGTGACCTTCGGCGGATCCACTGCAGCCGATAAGTCCAGCCAAATGATCTTAGGCACCCTGAGCACTCAGGGATGTTGGGCAGGAAGACTGGAAGAGGAATTGCCCCTCGATAGCTCCTCTGTCCATGAGGAGTGTCCTGAGGGCAAGCGGTCGGCAGTAGATGGTTTCCTCCATCTTGGGAAAGAAGAAGTCATGGATATCCAGTCAGATGTCTCAGTGACTGATCAATATGTTCCCAGATGTGATGCCGAGGAGCCGCGTAATTCCACTCCAGCCTCACTCGCCATTTCCTCCATTCAGCCATCAGTACAGGAGTCTAAAAACAGAGACCACGTCTCAACAGTGGAACATCCAGCAGTGTCTTTGGATGAAGCCAAAGCTGATCGGAGCTACCAGATCCTCAAGCTGCCGTTCGATGATGTTTTAACACCTGGATCTGCCGGACCTGGCCACCTCTGCTCCCCGACTGCTCCTTACTACTACAACTACCTGTCCATGCAGCCAAAACACGAACGCATGAGCGTCCTTAGTCCATCTCTGGATGAACTCTCCTCCAGAGATGAAATGTTCTCCACGGATCTGGACGACGTGGACCTCTTTCCCCAGCACCACATGTACGCAGGAAGGCGGCTCACCGAGGTGATTGGTGGATCTCCCCGTGCTGCTGAGGATGTAGAGGAAGTATGGCGGCCAGGTACGAAGAGGTATGTGTGCGCGTGTTGTGGGAAGAGCCTCGCTAAAGGGACGGGCAGGAGCAAAGTTCACAGCTCAAAGATGTACATGGACGATGCTGGAGATTCGGAGGATGAGGGCAGATATGGACGAGGGTGCGAGCAGCCCATCAGGGTGGTTGTGAGGAAGCATTCTTCACCGAGGAAGACTCACCCTTTACCACAAAGGCATCCAGCCAAGTCTTCGTATAAGAGAGGCCTGTACAAAGAGCCCACAGATGCAGTGGACCAGGACGAAGAGAGAGATGGTTGCAAGCAAGAGGCAGGTGAAGGTGAGGCTGGCGAGATGGACAGCGGCGAGCTGCAGTGTAGGACATGTCAAGGTAAGTCTGAACCAAGGACGCCTCCTTCTGTGATATTTTCAGATCCTTTCTGTTCATTGTAGTGACTCTGAACCGTCTCTCACAGAGAGGCTCTGCAGAGAAGATCTGACTGAAGGCGATGTGATTCCCAGGAGGAGACAAGGTGTGCAACTCGAAATGTTGTCCTTTCAAGTTTTATTGTTGCTTGGTTTTAAATTCTGCTCACCAGCATCAGCTGAGTGGTTTAGGTTTTCATAGTTTGTTTCTTATGATGTGAGCAGTGTTTGTCATATTTTAAAATGATACAATTAAAAAAAATGCAAATGCAAAATAAACCATCAACTCTTTAGTCTAATTAACTAAATAAGGTGTGTTTTTACTGTGGCATAGTTTCAGTTTTCATACATTTCTACTGTGTGCATGTTGTTTTACTAAACTTTCACTCACTGTTGTGTCTCCTGCTTGCACGGGTTGAAAAGAAACAAGTGCTCAGTGGAAAGTGATGTACCACAGGCCCAGAGATGAGGCCCGTGACGACGACGAGCTGCCACCACACTGGAACAGAGGTTAATGTGTTTTTCTTTAGTAGGTAGTTCTTCTGTTTTAGATTTCCTGTGTGAATATTTAACAGAATCTACCCTGTTGTTTGTTCAGGCTCTACAGTGAGAGGGGAACCGAGATGTTAATGTCCCTTGACCGACTTTTGAACAAAGTTTGTGGATCTGTAGGTGAAATTCAGGAAAATGCTTGATGTGATGGGGTACTTTTTACTCAGTTGCAGTACTCTGTGCTGCTGTGGGGGGGTCTAATATATTTATAGTGACTGACAACTGATTATATAATTTATTAAAGTGTGTTAATTTTGTTTTTCTTTTTCTCCCCCTCAGGTCCCCCCAAAGGGTGTAAATGTTCAAGGATGTGTTTGGAGATATTTGGAGCACTAGGTGAAATGCACCGCACAGGAGGCCTATTTATGTTTGGTGAAAAAAGAAAAAAAAAAAAGAAGTAAACCTCAGTGACACTGTCTTGCACTATTCATGATTAACAGATTTCACAGAGGTAGTAACACCCGGGGGTGTGCCATTGTTTGGGGCCAGTCCAATAAAATGTCATTATTTAATCTTTGTGGTGACTCTTTTGTTTTTAACATTTTGAATACAGGGAGGAACGAATTACCCAGGAGTAATGTTTCCTCCATGCAAAACACAAAGTTTAAACAAAGCTGGCTGTATTATGTTGGCATGGAAAATATTCTCTTTTCACTTTACAATCAGCCGATCCGTTCGAGGCTGATGTTCTGCTCCCCTCAGTCTGTTTCTGAGGTTTCTCAAAAGGGATTGTTGGATTTTCTCGGTATTGTCCTGAAGACTATTAATATCAACCTGGTATTATCGAATGCCAAATTGTATTTGCAGACCCTTGAAATCACTGAAGAACAGTTTTTGATTAACCTCTCAAAGGATGCTCTCCTGACCGGGGGGAGGCGGTGGGGTAGTCCAATGTTTTCTAGCTGAGCATCATTGATTGTGCTCTGGGCTTCTCTCATTCACTAGTGTGTACCTCCTTGTTTCCTGTCCTGCCTGTGAGCCTGAAGTTAATTTCTGTATTCCTTAGAACCATCAGGAGCATCTATAGTTGTGGAAGTTTTTTACCTTCACTGGATAAAGGAGACAGTACACAGCTGGACTATACAAGCATTAGTGGATGGAGGACCGTTTAAGCAGCTCATCTGCTCATGTTTGTTATTTAATCCTTTCTTCCTCGTTTCTGTACATCTTGCCTTGTTGCATTATTTTATTAATTGAATTACAACATTAGCACTTTTACATCTGAGACCATAAAATACAGCTGTGTGAAATGTCATTTCATTTATATCACTTTAAAATGAGACTATATACCAAGCACCTGTTGCTTTGACTCCTTTTCCTTGTATCCCTTTTTCACCTCTTCTGCTTGCACCTATGGTGGGAAGAGGAGTCAAGGACACAAGAAAGTGATGGTTTCCCTTTGCTCTCTGTCCTTGAGTTTGCCCCCCAAAATCTACCTGGCACTCTGGCTGATGTTGTTGATGTTGGTTTGGAAATAATTACCTGAAGATGTGATTAAAAAAGTTCATGGTAGACACATTGCTTCATGTGTTCTTTCAAGACATGCAAGTCATATGAAAAATAAAAACACCACCTCATTATTCTGAGACAAAGGTGTAACTTCTGCCTTTATTGAGGCTTTCTGTGACTTAAGTCAAATTAATTCAACCATTAGAGCGAAGGACAGAACTAATACGTGGTTCAAGAGTTGGCAGTTCGTCTTGTAATCGGAAG